GATTCCTGCTCCACTCCATGGCAATGAGTTTAAGAGGAAGTTTTTTTAGGGAGCATGGAATTTATGTTAATGAGGGAGGAACATCTCAGAAAAGAAGGGTGCAACTCAACTAATGTAATTAGTGTCGACAAATTGTATGTGTAGAACTGGCAAGTTGGTGTATGTTTTGCTGTATATTCTCAACAACACTAACAAAATAAATAAAATTTAAGGTTAATAAAGATCCTTGATGTATATAAAAATAATCTGTACGTAGAGAGCTTTGATGGCCTACTGGCAAGAAGTTGCTCTGCAATCCCGAAGGCACATGGTTTGAATCTACCAGATGCTCCACTGGAGAAGGAGGGGCAATCTCCTCTTGTGCCAGTCAGATCCGATTTGACTGTACACGGGGTGTGAATGGTGAAATATGTAGGCTTTGTGCTTAGAAATCTCAGTTAATAATTCATATTCATTGGGAAAATCTGCTGTCATGGACCGGTCCAGAGTATTGAAGAGCAGTGATGTCAGTTTAGATACAGACGTGCACCTAATACAGGCCATGGTTTTCTCAATTACTTGTTATGCTTCAGAGAGTTGGACAATGACTAAGGATGACAGAAGAAGAATAGATGTCTTTGAGTTGTGTTGGAGAAGAGTCTTGGACTGCCAAGTCATGGACTGCCAAGAAAACAAATAGTTCTGTCTTAGAGAGAGTGAAACCAAGTCTCTCCTTGGAGGCTAGGATTTTGAAGCTCCACCTCACTTATTTTGGGCATGTGGCCAGGAGAGATGGTCCTTGGAGAATGACATCATGCTTGGAAGGGTGGATGGACAGTGCAGAAGAGGGAGACTCTGGATGGGATGGATTGCTACAGTAACTGGGGCAGTGGGATTTGGTGTGTCAGAAGTAGCGAGACTGGCTCAGGAAAGGGAAGGGTTCAGAGCTGCTGTACTACATAGGGTCACTATACATTGCAGGTGACTCAATAGCACATAACAACAAAAAACATACAGGTTTGGAAGCAAGAATGCCATCCACTTCCTAAATAACATGCCTCCAGAAATTCTTTGAACTTTGATAAAGGTCAATAGTTGTAGAGGGGCTTCAGGCCTTTTGTTCATAGGTTCGCTATGATTCGTACTCGACTCGAAGTTAATAACAAGAAGAATGCTTTCGGCTTTTTAAAGAATTGAAATGAACTCTGTGCTGACCATCATACACTCAGCTACCACCATGGACCAAGAATACTACTATGAAAGAGAGTGATGCAGGAGTTGTTATGTGCCGTTAAGTCGCTTGTGACTCATAGTGACCCTATGTACAAGAGCCCTAAACCCTGCTCTATCCTGTGCCAACCTCATTGTCTCTGACACACCTACTCCTATTACCCCAATCACTGAATCAGTCTGTCTCATTGAGGGTCTTCCTGTCCTGCACCGTCCCTCCACTCTCCCAAACATGATGTCCCTCTCCAAGGACTGGTTCCTCCTTGCAACATGCCCAAAGTATGTCAGACAAAGCTTCAGAATCCTTGCCTCCAAGGAGCAGCCTGGTTTCACCGTCTCCATGATGAACCTGTTTGTTCTCTTAGCTGTCCATGGTATATTCAACACTCTTCTCCAACACCATAGCTCAAAGGCATCAATTCTCTATCATTCGTAGTCATTGTCCAGCTCTCTGATGCATAGCATGCAGTTACGAAGACTATGGCCAGGATTAGGCGCACCTTAGTCTTCAGCCTGACGTTGTTGCTCTTTAGTACCCTGAAGAGGCCCCTGACAGGTGACTTTCCCAAAGCAATTTGACTCTTGAGTTCCTGGCTGCTGGTACCAAGAATGTTGAGGAGTAGCTGTTTGAAAAAGTGATAAATGGCAGTTCTCTCTGGGCTGCAGTGAAGGATGTGGTAGAGAGTGGCGGGAACTGTAGCTAAATGGAAAGAGCCGTCATGGTATAGTGCTTAATGTGTTCATATCAGGCAGTAAACCCTGAGGCTGTTGGTTGCAATCCACCAGGGATTCTGGAGGAGAAAGGTGGGTAGCCTTCTGTAAAACTTGACAGTCTTGGGAGCCACTGGAGGCTAACTGAGCTGGAATAGACTTGACAGCAATAAGTTTTGGTGGGGCACTCACTAAATGGAAAGCATTTGTTTTGATTGATTGAAGCAGCAGCTGCAGCCAGCTTTTGACACGTGATCGTGTGGGCTACAGTTATGTTTTCTTATGTCCAAGACTAAAGCTTACATTTTTTTAAAAAAAATACATTTTTTTTTATTCCGGTTTACTTACAAGGTTTATAAATATTGTTTTCCACATCAGATCTTTCCCCTTTCCTTTCCCCACCCCTCACTCCACCCATTAAACTGTGCGACCCCTCTACTTCCCACTCTCCCCCTTAAATCCTCATACACGTTCTACAATAATAGTCTTATTACAGTATTTGCCTTTATGGGACTGAGTTAGTTCACTTAACATAATGCTTTCCAGTCCCTCCAAGTAGGGTAGTGATTTTCAAAATCATTGCTCCTGCGTGCTGTGTAGTATTCCATCCTGTGAATGTACCATAATTTCTTAATCCTTTCAGTTGTTGGACATTTGAGCTGTTTGCATGTTCTTGCGATGGTGAATAACACTGCTGTGAACACTGATGTTCAAGTCTCTGTGAGTTTACACTTTTTTATACATTGAGGTTTAAGTAGAGGTTATGGAAAAAATATTGTACAAGCTGCCAGAGGTGTGATTGTAGGCTGGGTCTGACCGAGGGTGTGATTGTGTGATCTGTATTCTCTGTTTATCTAAGTTGGGAGCTTCTATGAGGATTGAATAAACCCTTAGCTAAGAAAAGTACAACCTACTGTGTAATTGAGCCTAAAATGCATGAATGCTGAACACAGTCACAGTCCCTTGAAAGAAACTTAAAATTATGTTTAGATGGAGCCCTGGAGATACAGTAGTTTAAGTATTAGGCAGCTAACTGAATGTTCAGTAGTTTCTCCCAGCTGCTCTGTTGGGGAGAGGGAGATCATCTGCTTCTGTAACAGCTGAACCTTGGAAACCCTGTGGAGCATTTGACTCTGTCCTGTAAGGTCAGCATGAATAGGAATCAGTGGTGAGGAGCAGGGTTTTAAGCACTCTTGGCACCAGCAGTCAGGAAATCAAAAAGTGTATCGCGATGGGAAAGTCTGCTGTTAGGGACCTCTCAAAGGTACTCAGGAGCAACAGTGTCTCTCTGGAGACTAAGGTGCACCTGAT